ATGGAGACTTGGGGGAAGGGCCTCCGGTTATCACTTCTCATGGAAGCTGCTCCCAGTTTGATTGTTCGGCCTTCAAAATTGGAACAAAAATTCTCCTGGTTGTTGATAAACTTAAACTTTGTGGTTTTAATGTGGACGACCCTGAACCGGAATTTCAGTCTCAGCTCTGAATGTTTGAATCCAGGCTGAAAACTGTGAATGTATTCACTCTGAGACCTTCACTTTTTATCTATTTAATTTATTTTGTCGGGTCATTTTCTTTGTTTTCTGCTTTTGAACTCTTTGTAAAACACTTTGAATTGTATTGCACACAAAATGTGATGTAAAATAAACTTGCCTTGACCTTGCCTTCGTCTACTTGGCTCTCCATAAATTAACTTTAGTGCAATTAGCACAGAGTCATCGAAGGTTTGGCTAATAAAAGACGTGTAAACTCACCCCTGCCTGTCAACAATTAATGCAAACATTACACACATTCACCAGAGCAACGCAACACAACAGAAACTAAAGGAAACTGAACTTTAAGTTGAATTAAAACATTTTATAATGACTGTGATGAAGGTTATTTAGTCGTTTTATCAGCTTTTGTCCTGGTATTTGTCCCACATGAAAGAGAAAAGATAGAGTTGAGAGTTAAGAGAAATAATAGGGTTAAAATAAAGCTAAGAGGATTCAATCACTAATGAGAATCAACAGAAAAACGTGGATCTGAGGCAGAAAGATCTTCTAATAAAAGACGTGTAAACTCACCCCTGCCTGTCAACAATTAATGCAAACATTACACACATTCACCAGAGCAACACAACACAACAGAAACAAAAGGAAGCTGAACTCTAAGTTTAATTAAAACATGTTATAATGACTGTGATGAGGGTTATTTAGTCATTTTATCAGCTTTTGTCCTGGTATTTGTCCCACATGAAAGAAAAGATAGAGTCATAAGAAAAAATAGGGTGAAAATAAGGCTCAGAGGATTTAATCACTAATGAGAATCAACAGAAAAACGTGGATTTGAGGCAGAAAGAGCTTCCTTCCCTCTGTCTGAGTCCCTGTGAGCTCTCCCAGAATGCTTTTCTCACGCTGTAATCTCACACCTGAGTATAAGGTGACTCCCTGGAGCCCGACGCTTTCAGGTCAACTTTGCACGGCGGTGCCGGGGGAGCGGGGGGGAAACGGCGTCCAGAGCTCATCACTATCAGCCATAACTCCTGGTTTCATCTCCATTCTGCTGTCATTGCTCCATAGGTTGTGTTAACAGACAATTGGTTTGAATTTATTGGGCAAAATGGGTCAAATGAAGATGTCTAAATGGTTAAATGTTTGAAGTTCATGTCTGTAAGTGACTGAATTTACAGCCATTTAAGTTTGAAACGCTTCTGTTTAACTTTGCAAATGAAAACTGGACATTTTTAATCAGCAGCCTTCACTTTTTATCAATTTTTTTATTTTGTCGATTCATTTTCTTTCTTTGTTTTCTGCTTTTGAACTCTTTGTAAAGCCCTTTGAATTGTCTTGTACACAATAAATGCTGTGAAATCAACTTTCCATGCCAATTTCTTTGTCTACTTTGCTCTCCATGCATTTATTTTAGTGTCATTACCAAAGAGTCATCGTGGGTTTGGCCGAGAAATGACAAACCGCACATGTTTTTTAAGCAGCTGTAAAGTTGTTAAAACAGATAACACCAAAATAATCCTTCTCAAGTACTTCTAAATGAGTTCTGACCCGGCCATTAGCAGTTTGTCACGGACGTGCTGCTCACAGCTTAACCCTATATTGCCAAATGTATCATATTTGATACGGTTTCTGAAGTCTTTTGGATCTGAGAGTTTTTGCATCATTCAGTGGTAAAAGCTTTGCTCAAACCCCTGTTGTTCACATTCAGATATACCTGATAACAGCCAGTAGAAGACTACACCAAAATATATTTTTGACTTATTGCACGCTAATTTGATCAAAATAATTTCATTTTTTTTTCTTCATATTTTGTTGAGGGGCCAAAGAAAGACTTGAGACTAAAAAAATCCAATATTCTTCCTATTTTTCTTGGATCAGGCTTGAAGTAGAACGCTGGTCACAGGGAGGGGTGGCAGAGCAACAGTGAACAGAACAGGTGAAAGGAAAGTCCCCACAGAGTGAGCAAAGGTTTCCTTTATCTACAGAGAGCGATGGCATGTGTGTGTGTGTGTGTGTGTGTGTGTGTGTGTGTGTGTGTGTGTGAGGCCTGTCCCTGCATACTTTGGACGGGTGTTGTCACTGTAATGCTATTATTTCTGCTGCCGTGAAGAGAAACTGACGATTACTGAAGCAACCAGCTTGATTTAATCAGGAACTAAGCAAAAAAAAAAAAAAAAAAACCCACAAGGAATTGCTTTGTGGTAATCTCCGTCTCAGTTTTAGGTCAGACTATATGTTACGCACATGACAAAGTCTCATGTGAAGGCTTGTTTTTTGGTTTTTAACGTTGAACTTCACCTTCATTTCAACCTTAACCAGACAGGAAAGATTCAGTTTGACCCCGGGCAACGCTCCCAGCTCTAAACCTGAGAAATGCGGCTGGCGCTGAGCAGAAACTGCTCACGCTTTCAAATAACCGGCCGAGTCCCCGAGCAGGTTTCGGCTTGAAAGGGCTTCAGTTTTACAGCTAATGACACCTTTCCCAGGCACCTCCACGGGAGGAAAAGGCTGCTGGATGCCTGTTTGCCTCTGAGAGGAGCAGCTGATAAAGCCACTGAAACTCAGATAAGGACACAGATCAAACTCTCAGGCCTCAGACCCCCTTGTTTTGATTCAGGAAGCACCTTTAACCTTTTAGGATCAGCAGGCCGAGGCTGCTCTGTCAGCATGCAACGCGTTTTCTGTACCCAAATTTGTTGTTTTGTGTTGCTTTTTCCAAAACAAGAGAAACTGATGCAATCTATTTTTTTTTTGCAAAGGGCTGGGAATGGTTATCAACACGAGCTTTTAGTTGCATTTTCTGGTTTAGACTTTCATTTCCATGAATCACTGTGATCAAAAGCTCACATCCCAACAAAAATCAGGGAATGTCCCACTTATTGCATATTTAAAAAGCACCTTAAACAGTTTCTTAAAAGTTCCCAGTCATGCACTCACTAATTGTATCGTTGAAATGTAATTGTCTGAACGTGTGTCTGTGTGTTTGGACTGATTTTTTATTTTGTGATCTTGTGTTGTTTTATCTTCCTGTCTCAGGACGACAGATCTAAATTAGCAACTATGCTATAATCTGGCTAATTTACAATCTGTACAGAAGTATAAGATTGTTCATTAATGTCCACTGTCCTGATTAAATAAATAAATAAACAAGAAATCCCCACGTGATGTGATTCTTATCTTTAAATGCTGCTCCATCAGATTTTGCTGTTACTTATGCCATAAGAAGCAAAAAATAAATAAAATCCAGACAGTTTTGAATTACAGTCCTGGTGTCTACTGCCCCCTGGTGGCCTGGTGGAGTCATTGCCGGAATAACTCAGTTGCCAGACTAAAAATAACAAATTTAAGTGTAATTATTGTGTGGAAATCAGATATTTGACTTTTGCAAAAACATGAAAAAAGTACTACCCAAAAATAATCCAAGTGAACATAAAAAAAGATGAGCGACAACTGAATTCAGCACCCAAAAGACGTTATTATTTTGTGTTCAAAGGCATCTGATACATTTACCTATGTATTTATTTATGTAGTGTTTCTGTTTCTGTTTCCTTTTTCTTTTTTCTTTTTTTTTTTGCTTGCTAAACATTATTTTACAGCCAATCATCTGCTTTAACTAACTACCAAGGAAAATATTGACTGTGTCAATACATTATCAAACTATAAAAACACACATCTTTAACAGCGATAAATGGGAATTACAACAACAGCTTCGCTTGTTTATGTGATCTGGTGACGTTTTATGATCCGGTGTCACTGAGCCGTGAGGAGCAGGAAACGAAAGCGATGAGTTTCGTTTTCGAAGTAATCGCTGGTTCTGGGATATAAACAGAGCAGCTGTCTGCAAAAAAGCCAAACAGCCTGCAGAGCTCCGGACAGACAGACTGGACAGAGAACCGGACAACATGAGCAAATACGGTAAAGCAGGATTATCCTGGCATTCATTTTCCTGTTTTTTCCACTTCTATCTGATGTAACTGAGACTCTGTATTTTGTTCACATTAAGTTTATTGAAGCTCGTTTTGTGCTGTGAGCATCCACGCAGTTCTCTGTAATCTGAGGGATTTACATGAAACTCATTATCTGAAGTGTAGATAAAGCTTAAGATGCAATAAAATAGCACGAGGAACCCGATTAACTCTCATCCATATTCATTACATCCATTTCCGATTTGTAAATAAACGCTTATTAACTACATTAAGGACAAGATTTCCTTAATTGATAAGGGATTTGTTTTTCTTATTTGCTTGAGGAGCATCAAAAGAATTAAAGTTGTAGATCATGACCCTAGTTGACCTCTTCCAGGGACTTTTACTCTGTATCTTAGTTCAAATGTTTTTTCTCTGAGGATTAGATGTCTAATTTTTAAACATGCAAAGCATTTCATCAGGGACAAAACATCAGTAATGTTTACTTTGTTCGGTTTGGATTTAGGAGGTTAAATATTTTACCCAAATGAGAGTTTTCCTGCTGCTCGAATGTCTCTATAAATATCAGATATGTTGCTCCCCTAGTGGCGTTTTACCTCCCAGCTGTGCTCTCTGGGTTTGTTTTTCTTTGTGACGCACTTAAAAAAGGCCTTCCCACATCAACAAGTTCCTTGTTTGCCTTTTTCGATTAAAAAATGGGTGTGTGAGTGGCGCTTTGCCCACAGGAAACGCCCAACTTTTGTGCAGGCTGGGGCACTGTCAGGCTTTATAGGCCGATATTTATATGATATATACACTTGTCATCATTCATTCACATTTAACAGTGTTTTCCATGCTTCAATGCTGTCCTAAAATATTTTCCAATGTCTTTTCTTTGGTTGTGCTCGTGCAGAATGGATTCCTTCTCTTTGGCTCGAAACCTTCGGGGAAATGCTTAATGAAGACAACGAGCTGGACTATGGAGACGACTGGAATCTCACCTTCAACTACAGCCAGACGGACCAAATAACCAAAGAAGAAAGGAAGAGAGGCTGGAAAGTGTACTCACACTGTGCCCACGCAAAGTACGTGTTGTTCTCTAATCAGCCTTAAATGTATCATGTGACTGGTTTAACAATAACATAGTTCCTTCTTTTGTCAGCACAATATCCATAGTTTGTCAACTTCATATTTTTTTAATCATTATTGTGCTCATGTTCTGTGATGTCATGATTTTGTGGTAAAGAGCAACTTCTGTAAACTTGTGCAACACTGCCACCCTGTGGAGACAACCGGTACTGCAACGTGGTGCTTTTAGGATGATTCACATGAGCTTAGGATGTTATTTAATCATTCAATTAATTATGAATTGTAATAATAGCATTTATTCCTGTCAGATAAAACCGATAGAACATCAGGAAACATCTTTAAATAGTATTTTAAAGTTGAAAGAGCAGCTACAGAGCTTAAAGCAGGCTTAGGGGAGAGTGTTGTCCAAACGGAGATCCATCATGGACAACACCTCTCACCCCCTGCATCGGACTGTAGAAGAGCTGAGCAGCTCTTTTAGTAAAAGACTTAGACACCCTGTGTGTAAAAAAGAGCGATACCGCAGGTCTTTCATCCCTGCTGCTACCAGACTGTACAACTCTGCACTTTAACAACTTCTGTGCAATTGTGTTATATTTATTGACCTGTGTAATATGTGTACTGTGTGTGAGCCCTCAATGATTGTATATATTTTAATCACCCAAATCTCTGCGCTGTGTAGCTTCCTTGTATATTTGCTTGCTTTTGCTGTGCTTGATGCACCTTTTCCTCCTTTTGAACTCTAACCGATGTGTGACCGGTGAATTTCTCCACTGTGAGAACTATAAAGCTCTTATCTTTTCTTATCTATCTTATCTTAAATAACTGGTTTTAACCTCAGTTTTCAGTGTGGATCCTGTGGAAAGACCTGGTCTTCGGCCCGGGTGGTGCTGCTGTTCCGCTACCGGCTGAGGGGGGGGCGGGGCACGGTGATCATGAGGCCGTTCGGCCAGGCCTGCCGTCGTTGCCAGGACGACCAGTTTGACCTGCCCGGCTTCGTGGAGAAAGAGGTGGAGAACGCTCTGCAGAGGCTGTTTTCCAAAATCCGAAAGAACTGCTACGCGGAGGAGGACGACAGCGACGGCGGCAGTTCGGCGTCGTCCATAAAAGTGAAGACCAAACCTCACGAGGCCTCGCTCTGCGAGGGCTGCAGGATGGGCATTTGCTGCCAGGAAGACTAGGAGGAAAGTTTGTGTCGGTCTGAGAGGAGCATGCTTTGCATTTTGCACAAGGACGTTTTGTAAATATTTTAAAGTAGGTTAAAGTATTTTTTCATGGTCACAGATGAAGATTAGAAATACTGCAAGCTTTAAAACCAAGGAACTCATTGGTACGTGGTGCACGCTAAATTTGAGTGCCCTTTTGTCCAATGGACTTTTCTTTTTTTTTTTACTTTGTGCTTCTTTATAATCAAGCCATTATTTCTCAGATATATACGAAACTTTTCTCCTTTTTCTACTTGACCAAGTAGTCATTGACATTTTAAGAATGCTGTGGTGATGCTGTTCAATAAGCAAATAGCTTTTATAACAATCTGTTATTAACTGTGCAAATGTTAAACTTTATTTTAGAGTGTTCTTATCTGTAAAATGAAAGAAAAAAAAAAGCTGAACCAAGCCCACTGATTCAGGCTCCATTATATCCATGTGGATGTCTGAGTTTTTAAGAGTTCATTGCAACATCTTGTTTTTTTCCCTGACGTTCCTCACATTTGACATTGAGATGTTGCACTTTTAATGATAGTTTTTTTTTACTTTTCATGCTCTGGCCTTGTGGTAAACATGAAGGATCTCCATCTGGGAATACTTCATTCTATCTTGAATGTTTTATATTTATATGGAGTCTTTTATAAAAATGGATTGTTTGGAGATTGAATAAAATGTTTTCCTATATGTGACCTGAATATTCCAGATAAACCCACCTTTATCAAGGTGTTCACACTCACTGATGATCAATTTAAATAGAATATTTTACAAACTGCGTCCACTTAGCACTTATACTACTTGGTTTTTCCTGGGCTACCTTTTGGTGTTGTCTTGCTATTTGTTAAATGGATTGTGGCATTGTGTAATACAGTATGTGTTGCTCATCTGAGTTTATTCTCAATAAATAAATAAAAAAATGTCAAGGAGCATGTTTTTTTCTTTCTAAACTGTGTGCCCAGTTATATAAATCATTAGAACTTAAATAGGTTGAGTTTTCGGTTTCGCATGAATGTATTCCCCTTCAGCTTCCTAATTATTCTTCACCCTTTACAAGACAGTTTTACCAAGGCTGTTCAAGTTATTCATTTATTAAGTGCCTCAAACACTTGGTGTTCTGGGTCTGTCAAAATGAGCCAGCACTGCCGGGGAACCGACCAATAGGAACGCAGCACTGTGCGGGCTGCCGCGCATGCGCGGTGCGTGGCTTCTCTTTGGCAGCAACAACAACACACCGACGCCGGAGCAGCGGTCCGTCTCGCCCCTCCGCTGTCAGCGACTCCGCCGTGGCCCCTTGCCCGGTCCGGACGCAGAGAGGATGAACCAGCGGAACGGCAGCCGGGGACGCCAATGACAGCCGCGAAAAAACAATGGCCGAGTTTCCCACCGGATGGCTGGTGATCAAGTGAGACGACCGCGTAAGTGGAGCCGCGGAGGCTGAGGTTTCCCCCGCCGTTCGAGCTAACGTAACGCGCTAACGTTCACCGGAAAACACGCACGGAGGCACCTCTGCTAGCGTCGGTAACGGCCGGGAAGGGCTGGCAGCTTTTTGGGGGGTCTTGTCAACGTCTTTTTATTGCGTTCCGCCGCAACCAGCGGCTCCAACGGCCGTTAGAGCCAACGGTTTAGATAGAACGTCGCGTGGAGCCCTCAGCGTTCCACGCGCCGGGCGGTTGGGGCAGAACTGTCAGTTTGCCCGAACAAAGGAGCCCCAACCGCCGGGCGCGTGGACGCTCACTGTTTTGTGCCGTGCTCCAATTCACTTCACGCTGACACACTTTGGAGGACGACCGCGCGAGCCCTGACCTGAATATTTAGCTTATTTAGCTGCGAGCCAGCTAATTGAGGTAAAAGTTAATCATTACGCGGCCGTTTTGTTTTGGGCTCCGACAGGTTGCGAGTCTCCTCTGGCGGCTGGACTTTGTCCCCCAAAGGCGGGATAATCCAAACTGTGCCGGAGCCCACGGGAAGTTGTGGCTGCCCGGGGTTGTTGTTCATGTTTTTCTTTCGTTTTTGTCGATTTGGGATCAGCCACACGGCTAAAAAACGCTCAAATCTGATACCCCAAATGAGGCTGACATGAATGCCCTGATTCGGTGGACTGAAACCCTGGTAGAGCTCGAGTTAATGATTGCTCTCATTAGTTCTTAAAGGATTAGTCAATGAGTTAATCCGCAGAAAATTCATCCTAAGCGATTTTTCATAACAACTGCTCTTTTTTTCCCCCCCATGTGAACACATGAGCTCCCTAACCCGCCCAAACCACTTCTATCTTTTTAAAGTTTTCAGTCAGTGCAGAAATGCCTAAAGGCTGGAGGTGAATGTGTACGGTCGGCTGCACCTGTTCAGTCCTGATCGTATCTTCATGATTATTACTCAGACATAACTCATTCCTCTTCTCCTGGCTGGTTTTAAGACTAGTATGATGGCGGTCTGATAAACAGAAAGCAGTGGGATTCCTTAGGTTCCACCAGACATCCAAATGATGTCCTCACTGGTCGATTTCACGCTCGTGGATAATTGCACAGAGCAAACCACACGACTTGTAATCCCTGGAATTCCAAAGTTCCCTCATGTCCAGACTTCCTGTCCTTATTTAGCATGAGAAGGAGAGAGACCGCCGGATATATGCAGAGGTGAAGTGAACTGGAAGTAAACCAGTTCGCACAACACCGAGGGGCAAGCAGACAGACTGGCCTATTAACCACGGCAGCCCTCCCTCGCGGCGTCCCGCCTCCAGATACGCACAAAAAAACCCCAGCAGATCTGAGCAAAACTCTGAAAGCGTTTGCCTTTGTTCGGGCACTGGGAGCAGCTTCTGCCGCGCGGCCCTTATGTCTCATCTGTCAGCCTGTATTTTCCCCGTCTGTCACTGCGTGGAAGAGGGCGGCTGAAGAGGGGAGGCAGCCAGCCGCGCCATTCAAACGCTCCCAAGCCCGGCCAGCCAGCGGCCAACTGTGGCCGGCCTAAAAGGAGCCCTTTGTGAAGGCCAGACAGATGGCCCTAGAATGAAGACTGTAATGATAGCCTCTACAACCCAGTACACGCACAAACACATGCACTCATTACTATCCGCTCATTACAGGATGTAATGGTGTGTGAGTTTAAGACAGACCAGAGCGTGTTTGTGAGGGCAGAAGAGGGAGAGGTGGGGAAAATGAGGAAGGAAACTGGGCAGAGGACGTTGATGAAGACAATGATTATATGCATGTGACCAGACGGAGAAAGAGCAGAAAGCCTGGTGGGTTTTGTTTACCTCCTCCCATCTCTTAACACTGTTGAAAGCTCCCCTTACCCAAAGATACTGGTAAGATTAAAAAAGACAGGAAGCTGTTGACGTGAGAGGCTGGACCCTCCCCAGCAGACAGGGCTGTGATTTTTGTAATTCTTTGGTTTAGAGGCAGAGTCAGACTTGTTTGACTCTGGGTGTTAGTGCTGCTCTGTATAACTCCTCGGTAAATAGCGTAATTTGTTCAGATTCTTCTCAGTGTTCTGCTCAGTGGCCAGCTGTGGTCATGTTGACCATGCTTTTCATCAGCTGACTAACAAATTGATGGCCTGGATATCATTAACCCATCCCTCCGGTCCGCTCTTTTTATAATTATCAGTCCATCTTTCTGGCCTCTTTCCTCTGTCCCTGTGTTGTTTTCTCCTCTGTTTCCTGTAAGATAACATCCTGGCTGCAGCGCGTCAGCTGATCGATCCGTGCAGTGATTGATTGAGACCGTCTCTCACTATGACTCCTTCTGTCTCTGCTCCTAGATTTCCCTTAGTTCTATCAGGTTATTCGTTTCCTTTTCTTTTCTTTACCCTTGTTATATTACTCCCCACCTGATTGAATATTTTCCTTGCCAGGCACCCCTCGTGAGCGCCATCATTTTCCTCCGATCGATACTCTGCCTTTCTCTCTCTGCTGTGCAGGAAAGGAAAAAAAAAGCCCTAAACCATGTTGCTCTGAAGTGTGACCTGTGGTGAACGGGGGAGGAGGAAGAGGAGAGGAGGAGGAGGAAGACGGGCTGGCAGACACGGGTCCGCCACAGCTCCCAGTAGGCGGCCCCTTGGAAGCGTGACGCAATGGGCAACACGGCCACCAAGTTTCGCAAGGCCCTGGTGGGTGGTGACGAGGCCCTGGCCTGGCAGCTGTACGAGGGGAACCCCCAGTTCCGGGAGGGCCTGGACCCCAACGCCTCGTACGGGGAGCAGTACCAGCACAACACCGCCCTGCACTACGTCTGCCGCCACGCCATGACCCGCCTGCTCAGGTAAAACTCCGAGGGGTGTCAGTGAACGCAGCACAGGCATCTGTGAGGCTGCCGGTGAGCGGTTACCTAATCCAGACACAAAGGCGGTGAGTCACCTGAAACGGACTTGCAATCAGCGTCTGTCAGGTTTAAGAGATTTCTGCGAATCGCCATTTTTCTCACGGCTTTTTTTAAAACCCCTGCGAGGCAACTCTGTGCGCAGGGGGGGTCCGCAGAGGCCGGTCACTCAAGCTGCCACAGTATGTAAATGAAGTGAAAGGCCACTGCGCCCTGCATTAGCCCAGAGCAGCGGCTTTAATGGGATGCAGTCAGACCCTCACCAAACACTCGCTGCGCTCCACAAACAGCTGCAGAGGACACCTCCCGAGAAATGACCGGTGGCAGAGTCAGAAAACGGAGCCGTGCCACAGCCTCATGCTCAGAGCAGCTCTTTCACTTTGTCACGGCCAACAAGAAGCTAAAACCCAAACAAACATGTCTTTAGTGAGGCGTCTACTCTGACTAATCTAATCTAAGTAGAGATTAAAACGAAGCTTTAGTGTCGGCCTGACATTGAAGCTCCGCTGGTAAGGCGATTAGTTTATTATTAATTTCTTTTTCCTTGCTTTTTAATGCCTTAAACGACTAATTGGTGTCCATTGAGCGTTACGGGCTGAATGCCATGTGGGACTGTGTGCATAAAGAGCGGCTGCTGCTTTTCTGAGTCGATTATGTTCCAGCTCTCAAGGTCCAGATTTGATTCAATCAGGAGATTCACGAAATCTCTTGTTTTTACACGACCGTGAAATGAGTGTGTTGTAATGCGCACACATGCACACAACAAACGTTCATGCGTTTGCTGTGACCTCGTTTAGCTGAAAGCTAGTTTAAAAGCACACCTCGTGTCCATCATCTCCTGGTTTCAGCATTTCTCTCTTTATTTTTTGTCACTTTGAGCAGAAGATCGGCACAATTCAAAGAGACAATGCTGTGATTTGTCAAGCCTGGGTTTGGAGTGCTACTTGAGAGGTTCTACTGAGTGTGTGCTCCAGACAGTCACTGCTCCGCCGCCCGTTTAGCCCCCTCTGCCCGGACCACATTGGTACCATTGTCAGTCACAATGGCCTTCTCTTTGTTTGGTAACTCCTACTCTCACAGTGCCTGTGGACAGTGTTTCAGCAGTAGTGCTCGCTGTGTAGCTCGTTTGTGCTCTCCTCATTGGTGAGGTTAGGGACACAAGTTTGTCATCATTGTTGGTTTGGGAGGAAAGTGGATGGTAAGAGCTCTTCTCTGGGTGACCCACTTTCACAGGTTGGACGTTAAGGTGTGTTGGAACTCGGCTTTTCATCGTAACTTCACTGTGTGTTCCCTCTGTGATGAGATTAGGTCGGATTCTGTGGTGCCTGGGTGATGTCACCTCTAATGATTAAAGATATGTCTGTTATTTTCCAGTATTTTACTCCCATGGTTTGGCGTGGCTTTACTTTTGTCCAACACTGCCTCATAAATCTTTAAAGCTGTACTGTAGTGGATGCAGACTTCTTCTTTAAAATTGATGGTTTGCTGCCCTCAGTGGAGAAAATCTCCCACCATGTGGACTAAACTGAAGTGTGGCAACAAACAAATCTCCGACACCTCATGAAATCGACGGGTTGGAGGCTTTAATTTGATTTTGGTTCTACTGTTGTTCAACAAACTATATCAGATAGTGAGACAAACTGGGCCATTACTTAGTTATAAATGTCCAGAATACAGGAGATGGAGCTTTAAACAAAAAACTGTTTCAGAACACAGTTTCTTCCAAGTATTACAAGTTTACCCAACTCTTAACTGCGTTTTCGTGGTTGACTGGCGGGTTTAAGTGAAAGGGAGGACTCATTAAAGTCTCATTAAAAAGGGCTTGGTAGGTTTTAGGCCATGTTATTCAGCCTGTGAAAACTGGGGAGAAATATTCTCTTGCGGTTATGTAGGGAGTTTTCATGAGTCTGGAAAAATAACAAACAAGGAGACAAATGAGGTCATAAACATTGTTTCAGATGATGTTTGAGATTTGGAAAAATGTAAGCAGAAAGTCTGCGTTAGAAACTCAGGATGTGGACAAAGACTTGATCTAATAAAAGCAACACATGCATCCGGATAGAGCAGATCCAGCACTTTGGGGTCTTGTCTCTGTCTGAGAACAGCTCACTGAAACATAATAATAATTCCTCCTTTATATAGATTTGGAATCTTGGCAATGACCGTGAAGTGCCACTGACCTCCTGGAGTACCGTTCACTGGTCGTTATTTTAGTTAAGGTTTCCTTCACGTGTACCTGAAACAGGTGTGCACAGACACACACACGCATACGAGCATCCTTGGCATCGTCAGAAACCTCCAACCAGACAGGAAGCAGAACGAAGAGCTGCTAAGTGGTGCTCCACCTAAAATAAATCAAAGAACTGGAGGAACACATGGCGAGCAAAACGCCAGAAATCTTCTTTTTTGTTCCTCCTGCAGAGCTAATTAAGCAGGCCGTGTCAAGACAGCTGATTCAGTGACTCAGTAGCCTTCCTATCCTCCTCCTCCTCTTCCTCCCCTTTCTTTCTATGATTATTGAGGGGGGTTTGGTGGGGAGGGACATAAAGGAAGCCCTTTAAAAAAGACCAGTCATTTATTTGTGTATTTACATGCGTGACAACAGTCAGGTGTTTTTCTGTTGTCCTTTTTTCATGGACTCCACAAGTCCGCTCTGCTTAATGTGTCTGAGAACATTACTCAGTGAATCAATTGGCGTGCTATTTGCGTTCCTTCCCACCATCTATAACGGGCCAGAGAGGCGCGCTGCATGCGGCGCTGTGCTCCTGATAAGCATCAGAGGAAATGCTTCTTTGTTCCAGCCGTTCTCTTGGACAGAGACAAGTGGAGACTTCTCAGACGGAGTAAAAACCAGCAGAGGATGAGCGTGGGCTGGTAGATGTCTGCTGCTCAGATTATTCACCTGCTTCCTGCCCGTTCACGCTGTTCTCCACGTCTCCACGGCTGGTTGGATTGACCTGGAATTCCAGGAGATGTGAGAAACTGGGAAATAACAGGAGCACCTATTACTGGAAAAATGGGTGTTTTCAGGAAGTGTAGCCCTTCCTCCACAACAACAGAGTGGGCCGTCTCAGAAATAAGTAAATAACTTAGGAACAAAAAAAAAAGAAGAAATTAGGGTTAAAATAGGGTCTTTTTTCTTCTTTTTTCAAAGAGCTTTTAACCCTGTAATGCCAAATGTATCATACTTGATACATACGGTTTCTGAAATGTTTTACGTCTGACAGCTTTTGCATAATATAATGGTAAAAACGTTGCTCAAAATCCTATTGTACACATTCAGATATACCTGATAATAGGGGGCAGAAGACTACACACAAAAGAATCTTGACTTATCGCATAGTAATAAATTATTAATATTAAAAATGTATTTCTGTTTTTTCTTTTTACAAATTTTGTTAAAAGGCCAAATAAGGAATTCTTGGATCGGGCTTTAAAGGGTTAAACACATACAACAAACTTGGCTTTATCCACACAATTAAAGTTGGGCTTACACATTTTGTCCTGAGCGCTCGCTAAGAAACGGTGAGCTCTGAGCAGCGTTTGTGCTCAGTGACAGCAGCAGAGAGGTGACCTCCCCCCGCTCACCGTATCCAGCGGACTGATATTAGTGCCATTCATCTGAGCGTGGGGCTTTGTGCCTGCGTATCTGTGTGGAGGAGGGGGGGGGGGTATTGGAGTTGAGAGGGAATAATTAGTGATCATTGCAGTGCGAGTGAATCGGCAGTCCACTGTCATTAGAGCAAAGCTGCAGGGGCTGTTGCTTTTGCTGGCAGGGGGAGAGGGTCAGAAGGGGAAAAGCAGGGCTGCACAGATTTAGATTTCATTCAGACTCTGATTCAGTCGTGTTTTACCTTCCCTCCAAGAAAGAGCAGCACTTTTTCAACCAGTGGCATCCTTTCTTTTTGTGCTTTTTGCTTCATACTCATTCAGATAAAAAAGGTGGTACAAATCAATCCGGTTTACACCTTTACAGGGTGTTTTTTTAAAAAGACATTGGGATTTGCTTTTTAAAAAACTGGAGGCAGAATGTGCAGAGCCCAGTAAGAGTGGAGAAGTAATCAGTTAATGGTGGCCTTGACAGATAAACGACTGAAGAAAAAACTGGCCTAAACAGAACCTCACGCCACGTCTTGGCTCCCGGTCTAAGCAGCACATCCATCACCTGCCACCGGTTTGTGAGTCCACACATGCGCCAGCCATCACGTCCATTAACTCAGACTATAACAGGAATGGGGGGCATTCGGCCATCTATGCCCTCCTCCCTCTGCCTGCCGTTTTTAGCCACAGGCACTTATTTCTCTCCAAAAGTGTTTTATCCTGACATCTCTGAACCATCCACAAATATGCTTCTCTTCCTCCATTCGTTTTTTTACTCTCCTCATCCACCCTCTGAACCCCCTGACCTGCTTTTTTTGCCAACAGCTTGTGTTTAATTCACTCCTTTCTCTCTTGGCTGCGTTCAAAAGGTCGTTCCTGTTCAGCAAAGAGGGAAACCCCAACAAGAGAAATGTGCACAATGAGACCTGCCTCCATGTGCTGTGCCAAGGCCCGCAGATCCTGCTACTGCCAGAGGGGGCGCTGTCCCCCCGGCTGGCCCGGCCGCAGAGGGACGAGCAGCGCCGCACCGACTGCCTGCAGGTACGCACACATCAGCCGCCGTGAGCGTCAGGCAATGGGTTCTGGGAGCTAACACACACTAACGTGTGTGTAGGGTTGTCACGATACTAAAATGTTCAACTCGATACCGATGCTCAGGAAAATGTTCAATACTCGATACCATTTTCGATACCACAAGGATAAAAACAAAGACCCCAAAATGTAACTGAATTGTGACAGGTTAGTGTCTTTGGTTTCAAACTGACCTATTACTGATGTTATGGTGGCCCACATTAATGACCCTAACCCTAAACCTGCCCCTAAACCTGACCCTAACCCTGACCTTAACCCTAAGCCTTCACCCTTCATAATTGTGAGAAATAAATATTTTTTGGTTAAACTAGTTTGGACTTATTTTACAAACCTATTTAACATACACTATTTTAACATAATATTATATATAGAGTTTAATTCAGTGTTTGCAAGATTAATTTAACTATTTTTAAATTAATGTCTATATTGCCATGAAGCAATTAAGATTTTCTTGCCTGGGATCTTCATATTGGTGACCTAATAAAAATGGTCGACTTGGATGTGGGCGGAGTTGGATATTCATTCTTGGCTTCCTGCAGTCTGCAGCCAGACGGACTTGATTAATGTTGACGTGTTATTATTAACCATTAGCCACAGCTAGCAATTCAAGGCTAACGTCACGTTAATGATCAGAAACAACATAAATAAATAAATAAATGAGGGTGTATCGCTGTAGTATCAATACTTTTGACAGCCCTACATGTGTGTGTTTACGTCAGATGATCCTGAGCTGGACCGGCGCCAGGCTGGAGGGAGGCCAGTACGAGAAAGCAAATGTCAACGCCACAGACAACCACCACAGCACCTGCCTGCACTACGCCGCCGCCGCCGGGATGAAGAGCTGCGTGGAGGTGAGTGGGGTCGAGTCCCCCCGGCGTCACTCTGACGTCTGGGGAGCTGCTCTTCCTGTTGTGCCGACCCGTCACAGGAAGGCCGTCCTCAGCAGGAGCACTTACGGACATTCTCACATCAGCTGGATCTCCTTTGTTTTTAAATATCTTACTGCCGTTTTCACAATCTGCTCTCGCTTCCGTTCCTTTGACTTTTCGTCGTCACTCTTGTTTCCTTTCCTCTGCATGTCTCCCTCCGGTTGCCATCTTCCTGCCAGGCATCTCTTTGTCAGCTCGAGCTTTGTTGCCTTTTCTTGGTGAGCTTTTTATCCTGTTTGACTCCGTTAAAAACAGCTATCCATTGTCTTCCGTCCCCGCTAGCTGCTGATCCAGAGCGAGGCCGATCTTTTCGTGGAGGATGAGGACAAGTTGACGCCGTGCGACCATGCTGAGCGGCACCACCACACCGAGCTGGCTCTGAGCCTGGAGTCGCAGATGGTTTTCTCCTCCGCCTCGGCTCAGCAGTCCAACGCAGACACACATGGCGAAACAGGCCTGCTGCAATACAAGGAGGTGAGACCACAGTTTTCAAATCTGAAGGGTTCCTGCTGATTGGAGTTATTTTTACCCCTTTTTTCCTGTTTTTCATCATTGGATCGTTCGCTTTACATCATTTTCACTGGATTGTTGGGATTTATATCTGGGGAAGTATTAAATCCAACATGGAGCATTTAGATTGGGACAGTTTAGACATTCATTCATTTGAGTGGCTGACTTTCTGACTTGATTTATTTTAATGTTCTCCTAATTCTAATAAGCTTAACTGTCTGCTTTCTGCAAATGAGTGGAAACTAGCATAAATGTCAAAAAGTGGATTAAACTGAGTCGGATCTGATGTTTAAACTTTTAGTCATGGATGCTAATCTTCATCCTCGTGTTGAGTCATGCGCGCAACATATCAGCTTCCATTTGCAAAGAAATGGGAACAAAGCCACCAACACAGTTGTTTTTCTCTTTTGCACAAGTGGAAATCAGGTAAAGACAAGAAGATAACAGACTGAGTGTGTTCATGATAAGATTCAACAGGTATTTCAGACCCTAAGGGGCACACCGAGAAGCACATTAAAGTCCTCCAATGTGGGATTTTGCATTGTGCTGATTTCAGCCGGCGCATTAACTCAAACTCCATCTGGTTCAAACCTGTTTTATTAGTGTATGTTTGCCTTAGTGCTGGCTCATGTCTCAGTCTTCACTCCCAGTTTACAAAATAACCTCTGTTTTTGTATTTGCTTGCCACCAGTCACAGCTTAGTGGTTCACTGGTTTGGTAATGAGCACATACACATGCACACACACCTCACATCCCGTTTCTTAACTGCTTCTTGCAGCACAGAGGGCACGGGCACAGCAGTGTGGCAGCAGCTGCTGCCAGCTGATAACAGTTTGATCTGCTTTCCTGCAGCCAAATCTGTGCTAATACATCATTTCTCTGTCCCACTCCCATAACCACACACCACTCTCTGCCTCTCATCCCAGTCCTTTTCATGTGGCCCTTTTTACTTCCTGAAACCGCCTGAAATCCAGAACTTTTGCTGTGTGTTTGCGTAACAAAGCTTTCTTTCTCTGTCTGTCATAGAATGTCACATGGTCACATTCCATCTGAATATCTGGAGTTTTCCTTCTGTCTGTTTTCCTCCCCTTTAATGTTTTTCTCTCTCTGTGCTTTCAGCCTTATGAGGGCCTGAAGCTTCAAGACCTGCGCAGGTTGAAGGACATGTTGATAGTGGAGACTGCAGACATGCTGCAGGCCCCCCTCTTCACTGCCGAGGCCCTGCTTCGGGCGCATGGTGCGTGTTTCTCCAACAATGGAGAGGGGGCTTTGTTACTCTGATATTATAATATTTAGTTTTGTTTTCCTCCCTACACTCTGAGCTAAACGCACAACTTCCTCCTCCTGTCAGATTGGGACAGAGAAAAGCTTCTGGAGGCCTGGATGTCCGATGCTGAGGGCTGCTGCCAGCGCTCTGGTGTTGCCATGCCGACCCCGCCGCCTAGCGGCTACAATGCCTGGGACACCCTGCCCTCTCCCCGCACTCCCAGGACCCCACGCTCGCCCCTAACTCTCACCCTCACATCGCCCACAGACAGCTGCCTCACACCCGGGGAGGAGGGCCTGGCCACGGTGAGCAGGGCTGGAAGGTTTCAATGTACTGGGAGTTTAAGTTATTCCCTTACTTCATTTGAAGTGAAGTAAAGGAATGGAAGTATTGTCTTCTAAATCTACTTACCATCAGGATACAATATGCAAAGACAGCTGTCACAGTCCATCTGTCAGTGAGGCTGAGTATGTTGTATTTCATGTGTCACAGTAGTTTGATGGCTGCAGGTTAATGTTTAATCCTCTTAGTTTAAGGGGGGTCGAATGTTCCCTCTTTCTTGCTGTTCTTTGTACTAGTATCTAATCATTAGCCTGTGGTCCACCTGAAGAAGGTCCGGTTGCAAAGTCACCATTTGACATTCACAAAAAAACTGATTTCAAATTCCCACCTGCCCCTTCTTCCCTACAGATGTGCATTTAACAGGCTGAAGGATGACTTTAAATATTGGTATAAAACTTCAATTTAAAGTTTGGGCAAAATAGTTGGTAACACCTGCTGGTTTCACATAAAAACAGTGGGGTGCTAATGGATACCTTCTAGAATAAAATCTACTGTGGATGTTTCACTAATCACCTCCCTCGGGTCCAACATCATAAACATGGATTTGCTTTTCTTTTTTCTTTCTTTTCCAGTGTGGAATCTGTCTGTGCTCCATCTCAGTGTTTGAGGACCCGGTGGACATGTCCTGTGGTCATGAGTTCTGCCGATCCTGCTGGGAGGGGTAAGGGCCTGAGTTTAAAACATAAATGTAAAAAGTATATTTGTATTTAAAAGTGTGCTGAAGTAGATGGATTTAACTCTTCTGTGTTTGTGTGTTCCCCAGGTTCCTTAATGTAAAGATTCAGGAGGGTGATGCTCACAACATCTTCTGTCCAGCATACGACTGCTACCACTTGGTCCCAGTGCACGTGATAGAGAGTGTGGTCTCCAGAGAGATGGACCAGCGATACCTACAGTTTGACATAAAGGTTAAAAACGAACCCTCAAATTATTCAGAGTGTGCAGTCAAACCAAAAGTAGTTCATTGTGTATTCCATCTGTCCCACCCCCCTCCCTCATGATGCAGGCATTTGTGGAGAACAATCCAGCCATCCGCTGGTGCCCCGCAGCCCGCTGTGAGCGAGCAGTGAGGCTCACCCGACCCGGCCCCGGAGACAATGACCCGCACAGCTTTCCTCTGCTGCCCTCTCCAGCTGTCGATTGTGGCAAGGGGCACCTCTTCTGCTGGTTAGTGTTTAGTTTAATTTTTTTAAAATGTCAGATAGATTTTGACATAAAATGAGGAAAATTACAGAAAGGTACTTTGGTGCGATCAGGCTGGAGTCTGGTCTTCAACTGAAATTGTTACGACCATTTTAGGTCACATTAAGGAAACAAAGGGAGAAATAACCCCCAACATACCAATATTTATTAGTATATAAACATGGTTTTCACCTCACAAATTCATCCAGTCACAATTTATTTCCATTTTTAACACATTACGATGTGCAGGATAGGTTTCCCCTTCCTACTGCTGTCATTCCAGAAATGGTGGCACTTTTTCTGCTAAACTGAGCTTCAGTTGTGTGCGGCATGTGTTCCTACACCCAGTTCTCTGTTATTGCCCCTCATGTCTGCAGGGAATGCCTTGGCGAGGCCCACGAACCATGTGACTGTCAGATGTGGAGGAACTGGCTCCAGAAGGTCACAGAAATGAAGCCCGAGGAATGTAAGCCTGTCCTTGAGTTGTTATTGTTTCCAGCCATTTTCCGCGTCACAAGGGATCGTCTTTGGTGGTGAACCAGGGCCCGTCCGTGAACAGCAGCTGTCAGGACTGGTGCATCTTGTTTACGTGCCGGAGTGCGTCCTCAGGGCAGGCCTTTGGCTGCAGAGAGGTTGCTAAAGTGTGTCTTCCACAGTGGCGGGTGTGAGCGAGGCTTATGAAGACGCTGCTAACTGCCTGTGGCTGCTGACCAACTCCAAACCATGTGCCAACTGCAAGTCGCCCATTCAGAAGAATGAGGGCTGCAACCACATGCAGTGTGCCAAGGTTCAAACGCAATTCAGTCTGTAGTGTCTCATCAGTTACCAGCACAGAGATAGAGTTGGACTCACTGCATAACAATGACTGTGTACTCAACAGAAAAACGTTTGAACAAACCCTGCCATCTGTCTCTCTGTGCGCAGTGTAAATATGACTTTTGTTGGATCTGTCTGGAGGAGTGGAAGAAACACAGCTCATCCACAGGAGGCTACTATCGCTGCACTCGCTACGAGGTCATTCAGCAGCTGGAGGAGCAGTCCAAAGAAATGACTGTAGAGGTAACCACTGAGCACATACCCGCATCACATAAAAGCTCTCACTGGGGTAAAAACGTCGGCTTCATTTACGCACAAAATACACAAACCCGCTCACATTTGTACCTGCAAGAGCTTCTCCGCCAGCGGTCACAGAGCTTGTGTTCAGATGCCTCTTAGCAGGGATTGCGCTTTCACAAACGCTGACGCCCACAAACGAAGCTGAATGGAACCGAGTCGCTTTCTGTTGCAGGCGGAAAAGAAGCACAAGAGTTTCCAGGAGCTGGACCGCTTCATGCACTACTACACTCGCTTCAGGAACCACGAACACAGTTACAAGGTACGAACACACATTTATGCCGACGCTAAGCCCGCTTTAAGGCTTTCAAAAGGCTTCAGCTTCACTGCCCGTTTCCCTGTGTCTGCATTAGCTGGAGCAGAGGCTGCTGAAGACGGCCAAAGAGAAGATGGAGCAGCTGAGCAGGGCCTTCATTTGCCGTGAGCCCGGCCCCTCCCCGGCTGTGATTCCTCGGATCCACCCCCGGGAGGCCTCGGGCTGGCTAAACGTGCCCGTTTCTGCTGCCGCCGCAGGTGAGGGCGCCCCGCCGGACACGCGCTTCATCGAGGACGGCGTGACGGAGCTGCTGAAGACGCGGCGCGTGCTGAAGTGCTCTTACCCCTACGGCTTCTTCCTGCTGCAAGGCAGCACCCAGAAAGAGATATTCGAGCTCATGCAGGTAATCTCATAACTTTCAACCCCCCCAGAGAATTCTTCAGCCTTCTGTTTTTATTAAATCCTGCATTGCATAAAACACAGGAATAGCTGTAGGTTCATTATTTGGCTTCAGTTGACATATTTTCAGGGTAAGGAATTTGAAAGATATTATTTCTTGCGCACTGGGACTTTTTCTGGTAATATGAGATTGATATTATTGAGATATTTTAGATGGACTACCCTTAAAAAACACCTCCATTATTCTGATTTAACTGGAAATGTAAACTGTTGAAGAATAAGCTTGTGATTTGGATTATTAGATAAGATGCTATTTAAAGTTTTAAGAATTTTATTCTGTTCGATGGATAAAGATTCATGCTTTTTTGGCATTGTTAAACAAGTTCAAAAATACTGACGGATGCAGATTTATAAAACATATCTGAAGCCCCATTTTTGTCTCATTTGGAATTACAAGTCATTTCTGTGTCTCCTCTCTGTCTGTGTTCCCAGACTGACCTGGAGATGGTGGTGGAGGACCTGGCTCAGAAGGTGAACAGGCCGTACCTGAGGACGCCGTGTCACAAGATAATCAGCGCGGCCCGCCTGGTGCAGCAGAAGAGGCAGGAGTTCCTGGCCTCAGTGGCCCGCGGCGTCGCCCCCAATGACTCCCCGGAGCTGCCCCGCAGAAAGTAAAGCCTCCGATAGTTGGTCTATAACTGACAGGGTTAAAGTCAGAGCCCACTCTAAGGAAACTCTCTGTCTGGGTTTCAGTTACCCTGGAGGATCGTGGGACTGGGAGTACCTCGGCTTTGCATCTCCTGAGGTAAACAGAGACGGTCCATGTTGTGTAGCTTCTGCCAGACCTCTAGTTTGTGCTTCCTAAACCTCTCTGCTGCTTCCTGACCTGCTTGTGTGTGAGGTCCCACTAATGCATGACAGCGGCCCGGGCTGACCTAGTTTGCTTATGTGTGTTAAGATGGGAAGTCGTCACTCTGTACTGGGAACAGGAGATCACAGAGACAGACAGTCCCAGGTAACGCTCCATAGATTCCTGGCGTATTGTGCAAATGCATGAGGAAGTTCCACTTTAAATGTGCGCAAGACTGTGTGTGATGTTGCTCAGCAAAAAAAAAAAAAAAAAAATCCTAAGCAAGAAGCCACTTGGAGTTGGCTTTGTAATTAACCCAAAAGCCTCTCTCTGCAGGATTATGCTGACATCCAGTACCGGCGGAGGCACCGGCCGCGGCGCAGAGGAGAAATGCTGAGTCTGCACAGCCTGAGAAGCAGCAGCAACACGCCGGAGACCGGGCGGCGGAGCGACAGCACAGGTGCAGCCGCCCTCTCAGCCTTGGCCAACTCCATTAGGCCAGAAGGCAAACGTCACTCTCCATTCTTTCGCCCCTTTAAGTTAAAAGAAAATGGAGGTGGGTCGTTAGAACCGCTGTGTTGCATTAAAGTTTTAATGATCCTTAAATCCAGCTTTCCTTCTCCTGAATTCAAGTCAACATACAGTGGGGGAAATAAGTATTTGACCCCTTGCTGATTTTGCAGGTTTGCCCACTTACAAAGAATGCAACGATCTATAACTTTAATCATATGTACATTCTAACAGTGAAAGACAGAATCCCAAAGAAAATTCCAGAAAATCACATCATATGAATTTATAAAAATTGACAACCATCTGATGAGGAAAAACAAGCATTCTTTGTAAGTGGGCAAACCTGCAAAATCAGCAAGGGGTCAAATACTTATTTCCCCCACTGTACTTGTTGATTTGAGTCCTGTACAATCTTAATCCAGGTTAATTTCTTCCTCTGTCAACAACTCTGACTTCTTACTGCAGTAGACAACCAGCAAATGGGATTTTGGTTTATAGCTCCATCAATCTGAACAGTGTAGCTGCTTCCAACTTTTTCTAACTGGTTGATGCAAGTGCAAGTATCCAACTGATGGTTCCAAACGTTTTATTAAAGGATTTTCCGTCATACAAACGCCCAAGACCACCGTGAACACTACAAAATACACGGTGGAAAACATTCATCAGTGAAACCGTCATGTTCCCTTATATGAACGATCAACTGAAACTTATTAAACAAAATATAAATTATTTCAATTGTCCATACCGTATGCCCCTCCAACCAGAAGGTTAGGAGTTGCTAGAAGTCCATTTCTTCCATTTTTCAGTCCTTTGCCTTTACAAAACTCGGAATTTCCTATCAACGGCATCACGTGATCAAGTGATGACCTAATTGGTGACGTCTCCATCTGACATTATTACAATATTTCCCCAAAGTATGTACATATTAATAAAAGATACACAAAATATGAAATGGATATTAAAAGCAAAACATATTCATATTCACAAAAAATTACACTGCGTTCGCTACAAACAGGTTGAATCCCACAGACTCTGTCTGACTGACTGCTGTTTTTCTGCAGAGGGCCCTGAGAGGAGCGATGGCCGCCGCAGAGCGCTGGGCTCCCTGGACGAGGACGACCCCAACATCCTGCTGGCCATCCAGCTGTCCCTGCAGGATTCCCGCAGAGACAGAGAGCGGATCCAGGAGGGGCCGGGGGGGCCGGGGGGGG